AGAAGATGTAGCATTGCTGGTTACCCCGTCAGTTGACGGTGGAGTGGGCACCTGTGCAGGCGGTTTAGTGACTGGAGAAGCGAAAAATTTTGGGGGAGGGTTTTGACCTTTATGTATTACTAAGAGGGGTCACATTTTCATTCGGACGGCGTGGCGCAGTGGTCTACCGCGGTAGACTAGAATCAATCTAATTATCTACTCCTCTCTGAGGGCGCAGGTTCGAGTCCTGCCGCCGTCGAATTTTTTTTTTTTTCGAGACTGAGTCTTTTTTTGAGTTTTTGTGAAATTACAGATAATAGAACCTTTTTGGTCGCATGCATCGCGACAAACTTCCAAGTCCGGACGAGGTCGTCGGGGGCTGAACACAAGGAACGGGAAACTGGCCAACGTCTTTCTGTTTCTGTGACCGAAGGGGATTGTTGTTACCAAATCACGACACGAGGACTTGACAGAGCAATGTCTCCGGCATAGCCCCTTCGGTCGCCTCAACGGTGTCTACAGTCGCGCACAACGATGGTAACACTCGTGTGCCCAGTTATTGCCATTGTTGGGTGATCCCGATGTACGACTCGCTCGCGTTCGCACGACAGGGCGTGCAAGACGCGCGCGTGCACAACATGCACATCATCATTTCTTGTGAGTACAACACACTGTTAGTCTCCAGTCACATCGTGCGAGGCCGTCCAATACACACTGCAGTGGAAGCCAAAGCCAGTTCAACACAATAACAACCGTCTCTTCTTTTCAGGGGATACTCCAACGCTAGCAACATTGCGAGATTTTGGACCGACCACCGCCATCATTTGCGAGACGCACTTCAGCCACTTTCCCGCCCCCACTCGCAAATTCGACCCATCGAATGCCTCGTAGCCCCCCATTAGCACTACTCCCTGAACCCTGCATACCGAGAACTTGTCCACGTTGTTAATCCCCCAGTCCCTGTCGTCGGTACCTAGGTAAACCTCACATTCAGTTGGCAGCAGCGTGTGGTTCTCGTTGGTCGGATCCGCCCACTCTTCGTGCACCGCGTCCGGCTTGCATACTTTGGGCTTTGGCGTGCCCGGATACACAGAAGTCCACTCCGTCTGTGTAAGCACTTCGTCTGTGTTCTATGTCGACTTCTGCGATTGTTCTTTCTTGACCAATCTTTGGCTTCGCATTGCCAGATCAAGTGACCAACTCCGTGACACAACCTGCTGGCGGCCGCGGCACCAAGCGTGGGGCGCCACGATCCGCCCGAAGCCTACAACGTTTGTCACGCCATCACCTTCGACTTCATTCGTCTCGCATGTGCTCTCTGGCGCGTCGAGGACGTCAATGTCAGGAGGCAACCATCGTGTCAGCTGCGAACGCCGCTTCTCGGAGACCAAAACTTGAAGACGTGGCAAGATCGAGTCTGAATGTCTGTCTAATTGGCAGCGGAGCTCAACAATCTTCTCTCAGTTCTCAATTTGTCTGCAACGTTAGATGGCAAGGTGTTGTCGTCGTCAGTATACCTGCCGAATTCAAGATTTCGCATCTTGAAGGATGAAGACAGGCAGGTGAAGGTGGAGATGCCGGACATTTGTGTCGCCCATCAAGGTTGGTTTGACTGGGTAAGTTGCGGTGCAGACAACAAGTTTGGAAAACGGCTCACACTGCACCCGTTATAAACAAAGGGGAAGCATGGTCAACGCCAAGTGCCAAATGGCATTCGACATTGACGCTGATCTGGATGAGGTCAACGAACGTGCAGGTTCTTTTCATGCCGGTATGGAAAGTCTCCTGCATGACGTGTGGCCAGATGACGTCAAGATTCATCGTGAGCGTCTCACGCTGTATGTCAGGCTAATCTTGCATGGGGCTGAATTGAGATTCATTTCACAGCCAGAACAAAGCTGCCCTTCGACAAGTCCCAAGGGTCATTCCAGACGGAGCGCCATCCAAAGAACGAGTGAGTGGATCTTGAGAGCTGCTGTCAAAAACACAAGGGTGACACGTGTTGCATTACACAGACTGAGTGGGGTACAGCGTATTCATGCACGCCAAACCCCACCATATGCAAGCCGGAACATGCTCTTTCCTACAGAGTGTGAGGTATACCTAGGTTCCGACGACAGAGACTGGGGGGTTGAACAATGTAAACCTGTTCTCGGTGTGCAGGGTCCAAGGTGTATTTGTCATGGGCGGCTACGAGGTGTTACAACGGGTCAGAAAAGCGAGCGGTGTCTCACAAAGGACGTCGAAAATTGCAAATACGGAGGAATTTGCAAACAAACGACCTCGTCGGGGGTCAAAAAAGTGCGAAACCCTTCAGTCTTCGATCGAAGGGCATGAAGCGAATGAACCGTATCAACTGAATGGTCGTTATTGGAAGCCGAGCAAAGGTGAATGACGACGGAAAGCTCCTGATCGCTTCGAGGGACAACCGAGCGAGAGGAGCAGGTTGGCAACAGCGCGAGAGCGAGAACGAGCACAAGAGCCATTGACAGCTGATTCTCCTATATCGATATACGAGAGTTGGGGCAAAGTGCGCGAGTGCGATGGTGAGATGACGCGAAAAGAGAGCGACGTTGCGAGTTTCGCGCTCGACTTCAATTAGAGCAGATGGAAGCAAACTCGTACTAGATCAAAAAAAAAGTTTCGCTCGTTATGTCATTGGATGCATCAAGAAGGATGCAACGTTGATACGTTATTTGAAAATCGGATTTGCAATGCCGTGAATTTTGGATCGGACGAGGTTGCTCTTTGCTTTCTTTTTTTCTTGAAATTTATTCATCAATCAAACTCGTTTCACGAATCACACAAGGTTTCTATCACGCAAGTTTTGAAAATGAGAAAAGGTCGCAACTTTCGGGTCAAATCAACGCTGCAACGGGAGCACAACATACTCACGATCCACAGTTGGAAGCAATGACTGACTTTTTGTGCAATCTCGTTGTAGCGCGTATCCTGTTGTGCGTCCATCGTCTCAATCTCCGCCGACAAGTGCTCCTCCTTTTCTTGTAGAACAAAGATGTTGTTCTTTACGAAACCCGGCATCAAAGCCATCGTACCGGGCGACAAAAGTTGAGACAAGGAATAGCGGGTTGACTTCTAAGCTTGGCAAGTACCTGAAACGATGATTGACATTCTTGCCGCGTTGTTGTAACTTGCCAGAGCTTCGCGCCTGACTCTTGCCAATCGATGCTCACGAGCACGATCTGGTCCCCTTGAAGCGTTGATCTGATCTATAACTTGAGACATGTTGCAAACTAGTGTGATGAAAACTCCTTGTGACACGTGAACGAGGTTGATGAGTGGAAGAAGAAAGAAAAGAAAGCAAAGAGCAAAATAATCCAAGTCCGCGACGTTGCGAATCCAAGTGCAAATGAGGTCTTCGATCTTGTACCGTTCTTGACGATCCAGTGACAATTCCAGTGACGAAACGAATAAAACTTTGCTGATCCAGTACGAATTTGCTTCCATCTTCTCTTTCCCATTTCGATTTTCTCCAACATCCAACACAGTTCCCTTTTCAAGAACAGATGCTCAAAATAATTGCCTGATAAAATTAACTGAAAAGGGACAGTACTAAACAAAATCAGAATCCCAAAATCTATATCACTGTTGATTTTTTGTTTTCTTGATTGGCTTGTGTGCATGACTTTCAAGATTCAAGTCATTGGTAATCATTTGTTCGTACAGATCTTCATCTGAGTCATTCGTGTGCCCAATTTCTCATTTTCTGCCTTGTTAGGTAGATGACCAACTCGTCGTCAGTTGCAAGTCGTGACCGGAAATTACCACAATGAGAGCGAGACTGAATTTGATTTTCGACTTGGTGGTACTTTGGCGATCTGTGACACAAGGACATATGAGCAATACTGATCACAAACACGTTCTTCACAAGATCTGATGTGTCCACTTGAACGACTTCTGAATCAATAAATTTGTCGAGTCATCATTGAGAGTAATTTTCAAAGAAAAAATTTTGTGACAACGTAATTTCATATACAACAACTGTTGACAAATGTAAGCGGTATATTGTTCCTGAATCTCTTTCGATTCGACGATCAGTAGAGACATGGCAAACACGAAACTACAACATTGACTCGAACACTCCAATATGCTTTGAATTACTCTCGTTTGAAACTGTCTCGAAGATCAAGTGCTACTTCTGCTTGAGCGAGAGCTGGATCGATAGGGTAGAATCAAGTGTTGGTCAAGATGAAACTGTGAGCTCAGCATAGTAGTAGTAGAGTCTTACCTGCGAGGACATAATCTTCCATGCGTCGCAAGTTAATAGTGACGTCCGCGCTACAGAAACAAAACATCAGAGGCAGAATGTAGAAAATATTGAGCTGTACTAAACTCACTAATTCCTGTAAATGATCCATTCGTTTTCTCTATCTCCCCACCAAACCTAGATCGAGAAAAGCAAAGTCAGTTTCGAACGAATTCATATCGCGCGCCCCACAAAATGCGATAAAAGTGACTCACATCCTCTATGTCATAAGAAACATCCTTCTTTTCAACTGTGTAGTAGTAAGAACTCAAATGACTCATTTGAGTAAATACATACTTTTCCATCGAAAATGAACGATTGTACCTCGTATCCCAATAATCAACAAACACAGCACTAGCACCTCTTGGTAAAAAAGTTGCAGAAAATGAAATCCCACCACATGGAGAAACAAGTACAGTAGTTTGTTGTAATTCTTGTAATTGTTCAGTTAAACTTAATTGATTTGGATCAAGAATTTTTACTTCAATTTGAAATCGATCTTTCAAATGCTGTTCAAGGGCATCATAATTTTTAAGAGTGCTGCAAGAGGTATAACATGTGTATTAGTCAGCTCAATGCTGATCTATATTGAGAGAGAGGTATAAACTTGCCGCTTGCGAGGTTTGAACATGATCGAAATGCGCTGTTTTGAAGGTAACACGTTCGTTCGAACACGAGCCCGCTCTTTGATCGTCTCGGCGAAGCCAGTCTGATGGAATGATATCATGTCAGTGTCGATTATTGTCCCGATGAGTCGAGATGAAACCTACCCAGACACTGGCTTCAGCAGGTGTACCCATTCGAAGACCTCCAGTACCAATCAAAAGTTGACGAAAGCATAATTTTGAACCCTCTTTTTTAAACAATGAACTCGAATTGAGATCAATAGTTGGTAAATCAAATAATAGATTAGACATTTCTTGATGATGACTACATCCACGATTCATTTCATCTCCAGGTGAACCTCGATCATGACAAGAAGGATGAAATAT